CCACCCACACATGGTTCCAGCGTGCGCCAGCAGCGGCCGCCATAACGGAGCCCGGCAGCCCACTGCTCGCACTTCCGGCGCAGCGTCTGCGTCACCAGCGCGCGCGGAGCGGCTCTGGACGATCGCCGTCTCCGGGAGTTCTAGCAGCCGGAACCCGGGAACTTGGTGGTTACTTGGGAAAAGCTTGCGACTTTTGATCTGGGGATCGTGTTGGCGCTCCACGTTGGGTGTAGATATTTAAATAAATAAAAACTAAAGAAAAAAAGAGAGAGAGAGAGAGAAGAGTAAGGACCCCCTGCCTGCGTCAACTGGTTTTGCTTTACGAAGAGGGAATCTAGGGGATCCCTGGGTGGCGCAGCGGTTTGGCGCCTGCCATTGGCCCAGGGTGCGATCCTGGAGACTCGGGATCGAGTCCCACGTCGGGCTCCCGGTGCATGGAGCCTGCTTCTACCTCTGCCTGTCTCTCTCTCTCTCTCTCTCTCTCTCTCTCTGTGTGACTATCATAAATAAATAAATAAACTTAAAAAAAAAAAACGAAGAGGGAATCTAGAGACACCTGTTTATGATCCGGAGTAACTTGACAGTTTTGCACTTGGAGCGGAAGGCATCCTAGCCAGACCGCGTCACCCGGGGGAGCCAGGCCTAGTCCGTCTCCCTATTCCAAAGCATCATGTACATCTTGTTTTCTGTACAAGAAAGCACACTTTAGAAATGACTCAAATCACTAATGAGGCACATGGCTTCGACCTCGAGTGTAAAAGACAAAAGGAAGAAAGATGGGGAAGATGAAACTGGCGATCTTAAAGCAGAAATCTGGAAAGTGGAGGTAGGGACGTCGTGTTTTCTTTTGAGGTTTGGTGATGGTGAAAATCAGTTCTGACAATAAAAATCTGCAAAATTAAAACAGTATTTCTCTCCCAGGGACAAACGGCTACTTTACAACGTCGTGACAGCCCCTTCTTTGAGTGACTACTGTTTTCTTACAGAGAGATTTTTCTTCTCTGAAATTAGAGTACCAAAAACTTGACTGTTTGAGATGATACCAGTAAGAATAAAAACATCCCACTTTTGCCTGCACAGGCCTCTACAGAGAAACAAGCCTCGGTTTGCAGCTCAGCTGCAGAGCTGCTGGTGCGAGTTCTGGGCATCACATTCCACATTTATCTTAACGTCGTATTACCAAGGAAACAATCACCCTGGGTCTACTTCACAGTCTATACCTGCTATTGGCCTACTTGCGCACCGCCGCCCCCGCCCCTCCCCCCCCCCTACCTGGTATTGAAATAGCTCAGCATTAAACTAAACCTGAATTCGCCCTTATCTTTAAAATTCTACATTTAGGGAGCCCGGGTGGCTCAGCAGTTTAGTGCCGCCTTAAGCCCAGGGCGTGATCCTGGAGACCAGGAATTGAGTCCCACGTCGGGCTCCCTGCTTGGAGCCTGCTTCTCCCTCTGCCTATGTCTCTGCCTCTCTCTCTCTCTCTCTCTCTCAGTGTGACTCTCATAAATAAATAAAAATTAAAAAAAAATCTTAAAAAAAAAGTTCTACATTTAAATCCTTTATCTTGGGGATCCCTGGGTGGTGCAGCTGTTTGGCGCCTGCCTTTGGCCCAGGGCGCGATCCTGGAGACTTGGGATCAAATCCCACATCGGGCTCCCGGTGCATGGAGCCTGCTTCTCCCTCTGCCTGTGTCTCTGCCTCTCTCTCTCTCTCTCTCTCTGTATGACTATCATACAAAAAATAAAAGAAATTAAAAAAAAATCCTTTATCTTGCCGAGCCTCTTTTGGGCGGGTTTTCTCATTGTAAGCGTCTACCTTCCCAGGGCGTGATCCTCGAGTCCCAACAGAGCTCCTTGCAGTTGTTTCGCTGTTATCCCTTAAAACATCTTGAGTTCAGGGATCCCTGGGTGGCACAGTGGTTTGGCGCCTGCCTTTGGCCCAGGGCGCGATCCTGGAGACCCGGGATCGAATCCCACCTGGGGCTCCCGGTGCATGGAGCCTACTTCTCCCTCTGCCTGTGTCTCTGCCTCTCTCTATGTGTGTGACTATCATAAATAAATAAAAATTTAAAAAAATTTAAAAAAACAAAAAACAAAAAAACATCTTGAGTTCAGAAAGAGTTTCATAGAACACTGCCTAACCTGAGACAAACCAAGTTAAGTTGCTGGCTGGTTGAGAAACAGGCAGTCACTACTCCACCTGTTTCAGCTGTCATCAACACAGGACAGTGTTTACAAAGTGGATTTTCCCAATTCGAACTGCAATAGCTTTTTCTTGCACTTTATGCACCGGCATTACTCTACCTTTAGAAAAGGTGCACTTTTTATGATTCATAAGTTATTTGACGAGGGTGGATGGAGTGGTTCGTTTACTTTTTTTAAGCTCCCCATGTTACCTGGTGTTATAACAGAAGACCACTGGCTCGACCCGGCTGGCCTAGGCCTGTTGTGTGCTGGACCTGACTTACAATGAGACACTCAGCAATTAACTATCTACCTTCCAGCCCAGGGCATGATCCTGGAGTCTCAGAATCGAGTCCTCCAACGGGGTCCCTGCATGCTGCAGGGCCTGCTTTTCCCTCTACCTAGGTCTTTGCCTCTTCCCTCTCTCTTAAAAACTGCGAGAAGCTGCTTTCTAAAAGTTTTTTTTTTTAATTTTTTATTTATTTATGATAGTCACACACACACACACACACACAGAGGCAGAGACACAGGCAGAGGGAAAAGCAGGCTCCATGCACGGGGAGCCCGACGTGGGATTCGATCCGGGGTCTCCAGGATCACGCCCTGGGCCAAAGGCAGGCGCTAAACTGCTGCACCACCCAGGCATCCCGAGAAGCTGCTTTCTAAATTTCGTAGTTCTTGACTAAATATTATCCCAATAAATAAGTCATAAAACTACTACAGAACAAAAACCGAAAATAAAAGCTAAACTCAGTCCTAACCTTAAACAATCTTTATCTCTTTGGGAGGGCGCTAAGTACACCATCCCTAAAAGAACTGCGATAACAAGCCAGAAAAACTCCTATTACTATTACCCTTTCTAATTCTGAAGGTCCACTTAACATATTATTCTGGGTTAAAATAATGGGTCAAACATTAAGTAGGTAAGAACAAATATCACACCCAACCAAAAAAAGACAAGCGATAGAAGTTTCTTGGCTTCCCCTGCAGCCTTACCCTTAGTATAGCTTTTCCGAGTGTTGTGATTTTTGTGTTCTAATGATTAGATTACTTTGCAATATGCAACGTTCTTAAATTCAATTTCTCAATAGTCTTATTCATAATAATAGCTAATGTTTTTAAAGGACTTTGTTTTTTCTAAAGATTTTATTTATTCATTAGAGACACAGACAGAGAGAAGCAGAGACACAGGCAGAGGGAGAAGCAGGCTCCATGCGGGGAGCCCGACATGGGACTCGATTCGGATCTCTCCAGGATCACATCCTGGGCTGTAAGCCGCGCTAAACCGCCGAGCCACCCGGGCTGCCCCCTAAAGGACTTTAAAGAGCGTTCTTTGCTCCTTAGCCTGCCAGTTCGCCCTAGAGGTTTTACATAACCCCGCCCCTCCGCTGTTTTTACTTTCTTGGGATTGGCCCACATAGAGGTCGGATGACCACGTGGGCGTGGCCTCTTTTCCTCCTAGGCCGTCGCGACAGTCCGCCAGTCTGAAAGCGTTCAGGCGCCTCTCGGAGTCGGTGGGGCGTCGGTCTCGGTTGGTGGGTAGCAGATGGTGTGGCGGGTGCCGGCACCCCTCGCCGGGTCCTTTATTTGGCGAGTCGGCGGCTGCCCACGCACTGGCTTCGGAGTCCGAAGAACCGGGTTGGGATCCCCGCTGCCTAGTTGGTGACTTGAAAACACGAGGCCCAGAGCTTGGACGACCGCCTCGGTGTCTGTTAAATGGGTCATGAGAACCAGCACAGCGTGCGCGCGGCTAGGGCTGGCGGTGCAGATTGGCCTGGAGGGCTGCGTTCCCCTCGCCGCCCCCGTGATTGTAACGTCCACCCCCCGCCCCCTTACGACTTGCGGTCTGCGCTCTCTGGTCCCACGCCGTGAGCTCTTCGCAGAGGGGAAAAGAGGCCCCGGGAAAGGCCTTTGGGATTCCGGATCCTAAACTCCTGTGGGAGGGAGGGGGTGCGGCCAGCGCAGATAAAACTTGAGCGAAGCAGCTCTTTTCGTAGGCTCAAAGCAAATCCGGCTGTAGGAAAGGGATTGAGATCAGGCCGGGCTGAGAAGGGACTTGGGGTCCCGTTTCCTTGGAAACTGTATTATATAAATGTGGAACGTTCTGTCCCAAACCCCCTTCACAAGATCTATACCCAGGCTGGAAATAGAGGCCGAATCTCCGGGTCGAAGTGACCTGGTAGGAACTTCTTTCTCCCCGACAGGCTTTCAACTAGCAGAATGTGTGTGATCTGTGCTTTTAGAGAACACGGCTCTCAGTATTGTGTCCCCGATGTTAATAGAGGCAGTCTCTATAGGTCCCCAGAAGTAAACCCAAAGCCTCCAGTGAGGTGCTGAATTGAGAGGGCGTGGCAGCCAAGACCAAGATGCCCGGATCCGGATTCTCAGGGCCTCTCCAGTGTGTTACATTGCATGGCAAAAAGTACTTTTCAGAAATGGTTAAATTAGGGTTTGGGGGATTATCTTGGATAATCTGGTAGGCCCTGTAATCACAAAGGTCCTTAGGGAGAGGGAAGGCAGGAGCCAACGTCAGAATGATGGGGCATGCAGATGGATGAGGCATTGCTGGCTTGAAGATGGAAGGTGATCAGATGGATATGGGCGGCCCCTTAGAAGCTGGAAGAGGCAAGGGAACAGATTCTTCCTTAGAGCTTCCTGATTGGAATGCAACTCTACCAACACAGCTTGATTTTGGCCCAGTGAGACCCGTTTTGGACACCTGACCTTCAGGACTGTAAGATAACAAGTTTTGTCTTAGGCCATCGAGTGTGGTAATCTGTGACAACAGTAAACACGAATACAGGGGCAAAAGCAAAATTCAGGTTTTTTAAAAAAAGATTTTATTCATGAGAGACAGAAGCAGACTTGGCAGAGGGAGAAACAGGCTTCCTGCAGGGAGCCTGATGCAGGACTTGATCCCAGGACTCCAGAATCACCACCCAAGCCAAAGGCAGACGCTCAACCACTGAGCCAACCAGGTGCCCCCCAAATTCAGTTTCTTTTCATCTCGACTTCCAAATTCTTCAAGACCCAACCTCAGGCAAGCCACAGCCCGCAAGCTGAGCAGGCTTCACCTTCTGCCCAGGCTACAGCCTTTGTACTGGAGCACAGATCATAGATCTTGTGGTGGGCAATTCCCCAGACAGGGCTGCACTCTGCAGCAGCCGCCATCTTCCTTGGAAGCCAGGATAAGTGGGGAGTGGCTCCTTCACCCAGTTTGCTGTTACCCCTTCTTCTTCCTACACAAGTAAGGGAGACTGATGGTGCAGGTGCCATAAGAACTTGGGATTACATTTGCTCCTGGGAAGCCTTTTGTTCACTTGTGCTTGTTGAGCACATTCTGCAATAATAAAATCAGATGGGGTCCTTGCCTTCCTGACGTTCAGTTTCCTGGGGAAAACAGAAGAATCCTGTGATCATCTAGGTGAGAGCCTTGGGCCCTGACTGCAGAACTGGACGCAAGTGGTAGAGTTCACAGAGAATCACTGGCTTTGAGGACAGGCAAAGTGAGGCCAAGGAATATGCTTTCCAGGTGCATATTCTAAATTTATTTATTTTCATGAAACCAATATTCTGTTAACTGTTGCATAATATTCAAAGGCTTTTAACATTTCCCCTCCCATTTTTTAAAAAAAGATTTATTTATTCATGAGAGACCCAGAGACAGGCTGAGGAACAAGCAGGTTCCATGCAAGGAGCCCAATGTGGGACTTGATCCCAGGACTCCAGGATCAGGCCCTGGGCCGAAGGCAGATGCTCAACCACTGAGCCACCCAGGGATCCCCTTAATTTTAACTTTATTGCATTTCCCAACCACTCTGAGAATCTGCTGAAGCTTTACCCAAATGAGTTGCTGTATACTTATTTAGTATACAACTTCCAGGCAGACCCTTAGCGTCCCCTAGGCCCATTCACTAGCCTACAAGTTAACCACAGTCCTCAAGAGGCTAGAGAACTTGACAGAAGGTATCCAAACACCTAACAAGAGGCCATACCAAGTAGAGGCACAGATGGGGAGGTCCTGTGGGAGGCCGGTTGCAGGGTTGTCCGAGAGTGCTGCCTCTGGGAGCTGGCACTACGGGACCCACTTTCCTGTGGCAACTCTGGGATGGATTTGGGCAGCTCCTGGAAAAGAAGGACCAGCTCTCCTTTTGGCCACCAATTTCACTCTCTTTGCTAATTGGTCTTAGCCCCTTGGCAGCCTTGAGAGTAGTTACTATCATTTTCCCTCTTTAACAGATGGGGAAACTGAACCACAGCAGGTTAGGTGGTTTTCTTAAGGTCACATGGCTAGTAAGTGGCAGGACTCCAAAGTCAGGCAACCTGGCTATGGAGCCCTTATTTCTAAACCTATGCCATATCACCTTTGCTGGACTCTCTCCCTGGATGTCTGGGAGGCATTTCAGACTCCCCTCTATCCAAAATGGTTCCCACTGTCCCCACTGGAACATTTTTCATCTCCTCTCCACATCCATCAGCTAGTCCTATTGCTTCTACTCCAAAATACATTCTGAACGACTCCATTTCATTCCATGGGCTGCTCCTCAGCCTCCACATCTCTCCACCTTCTTTCCCATCTTAGCTCAGATGTCACTTCCTCAGAGATGCCTTCCCTGGCCACCTCACCAAATCAGATTCTTGTTCTCTGCCAGCATTTCTCATGTATCTCAGGGTGTCTGCAACTTAGGACTAGACATTTTCAGCTGAAGAATTCATTGTTTGGGGTGTGGTGGAGAACTCTCCTGTGCATTGTAGGTTCTCCCCATTGGATGCCAGTAATACAGCACCCCCAAAGCTGTAACAATCAGAAGTATCTCCAGGGCTTGCTAAATGTTCTCTGGGGGTCAAAATCACCCCTGGTTGAAAACCAGTGCTCTCAAATATCTTCTGTATTGGCGGTCTTATTTTCCTTTTTCCTCTTCTTCTAAAATGTAACCCAACAGCAGTCAATAAAAGCAAGAGCAAGGCCGTGGCTCTTCTGAGTATACTGCTAGGTTTGGGCAGAGCAGCCTGTCAGCGCTGTGGCCATTTACAGGGGTGGGGGACAGGAGCGTATAAGATCTGAGCAGGGCAGGGAACCATGTGTCTCAACGTCCAGTTGGGTTTCAAGTGAGGTCAAGGGGTGAGTGGACACACCTGAAGCTCAGGGGGAGAGATCTGAGGCATCAGGAACACAAGCCAGGCCTGTCATCCTCCCACATTTCTCCAAGTTGTTTATTATTCCTCTCATCTTTCAGCCAAAGTAGCCATTGACTTGGACCTGAATTTGAATTCATTTGCCAAATAGTGAAAACAGTGTTCCTGGAAGTCTTGTCAAGCACTCTCCTGGTGAATATGGCCTGGCTCCTGTGTTGGTCTAGACCACTTCTCTGGGCTAGATTAGGGTAACAGTGGCCTCCAGGCTCCCAGAGGTAACAGCCTGGCCTAATGGTTGAACAGTAGGATTGTAACTGCTGGCCCTCCCCTCCTCTGTTCTTCTGAGTATATTCATAGCACCTCCTCCCATGGTAAGGGATAGAGGTGCTACGAATATCAAGCCCCAAGACCAAGACCAGAACCAAAACCAAGAGCTGGACACTCAGCTGGCTGAGCCACCCAGGCATCCCTAAGTTGCCCTGTAATTCTGACACAATATACTCTAAAAACTCGCATATGAAAGTGAATCCAATTTCATCATTTGGCATCCATCCTTCTCAGTTTGAATAGAAGAATGTTCACTATGAGAACTACTCATTGCAGCCAGAATTGCCTGGTGGGATGGAGATGGAGTTTGTGAAAATGTGAAGCGTGCAGATTTGAGCTTCCAGGTGTAGAAAACGATGTAGCTGCTCTGCAGACTAAGAATCATTGACCTAAGCACACCTACAACTACCACCTAGTGTTTCAGGTTTGACAACTTCCTTTACTGTAAATCTTTTTTTTTTAATTTATTTATGAGAGAGAGAGAGAGAGAGAGAGAGAGAGAGAGAGAGAGAGAGAGAGAGGCAGAGACACAGGCAGAGGGAGAGGCAGGCTCCACGCACCGGGAGCCCGACGTGGGATTCGATCCCGGGTCTCCAGGATCGCGCCCTGGGCCAAAGGCAGGTGCTAAACCGCTGGGCCACCCAGGGATCCCTAACAGTGACTTTTAAGTAGGCTCCATGCCCAGTGTGGAACCCAGTGCAGGGCTTGAGCTTGTCAAATGTTTAATGGACTCAGCTACCCAGGTGACCCCCCAAGCAGTGACTTGTGCAGAGAGGGCCCAAGTCACCCACATGAATAAAAAAAGCCTAGAGAAAAAAAAAACTAAAAAACGAGGAATCAGGAAAAAGGGAATAAACGCCGAGACCTGGAGGTTCGCCACAGAACAGCAATTCAAGGGCTGTAGAGACCTGTTCCTACAGACAAACCCGACTCCACAGCAACCATGTTTGTTTCATGTGCAGAAAAAGGGCAGTGGAACACCAGACTCTGACAGCTATTTTTTTGAGTAAAGGAATCCTTGATGTCCACATGTACCACTGACTTCCAGTGGCTGTAGCCAAGCCCACCAAAGTTATCACCCAAACCCAGCCAACATTTCAACAAGGCACAATGGTCGGTGTGTGCTCAGGGCAACTGGGTGGCTCCATTGTTGAGCATCTGTCACAACCCAGGGGTTGTGATCCCTGGGTTCTAGCCCACATCAGGTTCCCTGCAGGGAGCCTTCTGCCTATGTCTCTAATGAATAAGTAAAATCTTAAAACAACACACACGCAGAGACACAAGCAGAGGGAGAAGCAGGCTCCATGCAGGGAGCCGATGTGGGATTTGATCCTGGATCTCCAGGATCACACCCTGGGCTGAAGGCAGCGCTAAACCGCTGAGCCACCCAGGCTGCCCCTAGTTCACATTTTTTTTTAAAAAGATTGATTGATTAATGATAGACAGAGACAGACAGACAGAGGCAGAGACACAGGCAGAGGGAGAAGCAGTCTCCCTCCCGGGAACCCCACCATCATGCCCTGGGCGGAAGGCAGGCACTAAACCACTGAGGATCCCTAGGTCACATTTTAAAAGCCTTTTTCTAGGTACATTTTTCTGTTTATCCTAGTCTATTAAATACAAAATACCAATATTTAAACAGATACATACCTGTTATATAAAAGCTTTGTTCTTTCTTTAGACCTACAAAGAAGTATGTACAGTTGACTTCACCAAATGATTTATTCCCTTTTCCCATATTTAGAAATCTCTTATGATCCCTCAGACAGTTCCTTCCGGAGCAAATGTCCTTCCTTCCCCCAGCCAGCCCCAGTGGGTTCACCTTTACAGGCTCTGGGACTAGGACAGGAGGTAAGACATGTGACTGTTTCTTCACTGGGAGGTTCTAGTTTGGGTCACTCTGTATGTAAATTTACTTGCCTCAGACTGGAGCTGAACAGAAAAATGGCTGAGGGTTCCTGCAAAAGAACGATTGACAACTAAGCCTCCCATCATGAGCTAAGGTTTCAGGCACGTATTTTTCAGTAACCACCAGTAGTCCACAAGACTGGCTTAAAACCTACTTGATACATTTCTCACTGTTGTCACCTCAGCAAGACAAGCTCACTGCTCAGAAAATACCTTTCAGTCACGGTGATCAGACTGGGGCGGTATTGAATTCATCACTGGAGAGGGGGAGCTTGTTGCAAGTGGTTCAGAATGGCCAGACAGAACTTTGGAGTAAACCAGTAATGTCTTCTTACAACTACCCAGACCAAAGTGCCACCCAACACTCCCCACCCCCACCTAATTTATAGCAACTAAATAATAGGGTTATAAAGGCATTTACCTCAAATCATTCTTGAGTCCCACACAAGGTACTGGACCTGATACAAATAAGGGAAATCAGTAATGCTTACCTCTAGCAATAAAAATTCTTCCCATTTAAACTATCATTCCTAGGGAAGTCAGATTTCCGAGTCTCAACAGCAAGTTATCAGCCGAACGAGATTCCACATAAGTCATCATGGATTTAGGCTCCCAAAAGGGTACTTTTCTGCCCAATGTATTTCTTGTACCACATAAAGAAACTACTCACCTTTCAGCAAACAAGCAGGTTATAGGTGTAACAGGACCTAGAGGATGAAGATGTGGGTGAATAAAAAAAGGCCCTTCCACATAGCATCCCGCCTCCACTCCAGCTGTCTCCAGTTTCTCAGGTGTTCATTTATTTTCATTGTGTAGGTCATAGTGAGCTAGTTTGACTCATCATGGAAACTGCAGATTTGGTGGCATGAGCCACAGACATTAATCAACTAACCTGTTAGCTCTGGAGACTTTGGGGTAGCATACAGGAAACAAGCTGCTCCTGAATGAGATCACATAATTAGTGAAGGATCCAAACAATTAGTGAAAATTCAAAATCTATTTTAGCTATGGCTACTGGATTTAAGCTAAGAAAAGCCAGATGTTACTAACAGGCATATGCTGTGCCTCAGACTGTTCCCTATGGAACAAATTCTCATCCTCTCTCCCAGTCAGTCCCAGTGGGTTCACCATTACTGGCTCTGGAACTGAACAGGGGGTAAGACAGGATGCTTGCTCTCCTCACCGGCACATACTCGGGATAAGCCACAACTATTAAAGTTACAAGTACTCACCATCCTTAATGTTGCTTTTGGAGAGCTCAACCCTGGACAGATCAAAGGAGTACCCAGAAGAAATAAAGCAAAGGATGCCTGGCTGGCTCAGTTGGTGGGGCACCCAACTCTTGATCTTGAGGTCCTGAGTTTCGGCCCCATGTTGGGCACAGAGCCTACTTGTAAAAAAAAAAAAAAAAAAAATCACTCAGAAAAAAGATTAACAAACAAGAAAAAGAACCAGTAATCTATATGGGCCAATCAAGTCTCTGCTCAAATGAACCAAAAAAAACTCCAGGATGATAAAATCATCCTTTGGATTACGGATTCACATGTATGCTAACTAATCACAATACTGGGAAAAGCTCTTACTGTAAATAGATGAATGGATCACCATCAAGTCAACCTGTAAAAGGTGAACAAACAGTTACCCAAAAATATTAGGATGGAATGAAGTTTCCTTGTTAACAGAAACTGTCATCAGAACTCTAACATGCTATTAATTGTTGTACCTCACAGAGGATCAGCATATCTATTCAAATCATCTGACAGTGACGTATGGGGTAAGGGAGAGCATAGCCTCACAAGAAGTATACAGCTGGGCTGCTCTCTCCCTCCACAGGAAAGTCATTCCAAAAGGAACAAGCTGGAAGGAGCAAAAAGGCAACACTGCTCCACTGGACATTTGCTCTTCTGGTTGTAGGCAAAACTGGAGAGAATTCTCCAACCCCCCCCCATTTGAACAATTATTACCTGTATTCACTGTGGAGGTCAGTTGGATTCCTCAGGCTTAGAGAAGAGATGCTACAGGCAGAAACAGAAGGCATTACATGTACCTAGCAATAATCACTTCTATGACTATAGTCATAGACCCTTAAGTACTCTTGGCCCACTTCTCAGCAGTAAGATGACATCACTTCTAAGTTCAGCCATATGCTTGTCTTTTTTATGTTCATCATAGAGTGGTCAGCACAATTCGAACAAGAAGCAACCCCACCTAGACACCATGCCCACCCACACCTGCGGAAATCCCTGCATACTCACCCGGAGCACCACGGTAATGCCTAGTTCATAGAGACAGGTCTTTTTTTTCCATAGAGACAGGTCTGATCTCATCCTCCAAACTTTAAGGTCTTTGGAGCTGAACCACATCTGGAAAAAAAAAAAAAAAAAACGAAGAGCACCCCTCACTTAGTTCCACACCTTGCAGTCTGTCTCATGTTCGTTCCTAGGAAATCCGCGCTAAAAACGCAGACGTTTGCTGCGGAATGGTGCTACTCAGAATCTTTACGTTTTCTCCACCAACCCATCAGAAAGAGAGAGTTCAATTCCTAGTATCATCCCCGTAGCACATCCCACGGGACTTCCCTGAACCCTCCAACAGAGGAACGCGGTAAAGGTTGTCACACTTACTCTAGCAAGTCGGTTCTTTTCCATTCTTCGGCGTTCCCAAGTGCGCCTGGAACCTGCAGACCAAAGAATATTAAATCAACAGCCATGCATTTCACAAGCGCTTTGTTTTCCGGAGCTACGACAATGTTGGACTCCGGCTGTGCCAAGGCCCGTCTCCTGTTTTTAACATTTTATTTATGTATTCATGAGAGACCGAGAGAGGCAGAGACACAGGCAGAGGGAGAAGCAGGCTCCATGCAGGGAGCCCGACGTGGGACTCGATTCCGGGTCTCCAGGATCAGGCCCTGCGGCGAACGCGGCGCTAAACCGCTTTACCACGCGGGCTGCCCTCCTCAGAGTTTTTTTTTATCCTCACGGAGATCAGTACAGGTCTGTGAAAGGTTCTCATCACAGAGAGGGCCTCCAGCGCGGCCCGCCACCGCCATTTTGTCCTCCGCAAAGCTCCGCCGCGGCTCCGTGCAGTCGAGGCCACGGCCGAGATTGCTCATCCCTCCCTCACCCATCAATGAGTGCTCAGGCATCCTACGCTCACCCAGTTTTTCTGCTCAAGTCATTTAAAAAACATAAAGCAAAAATAAACTCACCAACTGCCGTGGAAAAATGAGACCGAAGGACCGCAGCGAGACACTTAAATACCTCCTCGCAAGGGCCCACGGGAAGGGGCAGGCGGGACTATGGCGACGCAGGCGCATAAGGAGAGGGCGCTCGAACCCGGGGGGTTGTGGGTAGAGAATTACTGAGAAGGCGGGAGTTTCGTAAGCCCCCCAGGAGCTGGGGCGCGAAAAAGGTGCGCATGCGCCTTAGGGAAGCGCGCGGGCGGTCTGGTCTTACTACTGGGAGGTTGGTACCCGGCTTTCCTGGGACTGAAGGGCGGAGGCTTCGCATGGAAGCTGCGACGCCCTGCCTCGGTCACGGCTGCCTGTCCCGGCACCCTTCCCTGAGCACCCCCCTTACCCACACACACCCTAAACCAGTGTGCAGCCTCCGCGGATCCCGAACCTCCCGAATCCTGGACTGGTGTCATCTGGGTTCCATGGCCGCCGCCTAGCCTGGTGCGCGGGGTCCTTAGGGGGTGGGTGGGTGGTCCCTTGCCTGGAACCCTTTATGGAAAGTGAATCAGGCGGTAAGTGCTCCGCTTTTCTGACAGGTTCTGATTTTTCCTGAGCGGCCATCTATGACCTGCTGTCTGGTCCGCTGTCGCTGGGAATTGGGCTAATATTCGCTAATTTTGGAAACGCTATTTTAAGCACACTACAGGAATTGATTACTTTTTTTTTTAATTGATTACTTTAGTTCTCCCAAATCCCAAGCTAGCCCATAACTGGCCCCATTTTAAAGGTAAGGGGCCCTTATTCAGTCTGACTCCAGTGCCTGCACTTCGGACCACTATACTTTACTGCTCTGATCCCACAGTTACTGCTCGAGGTAGTCAGGGAGCCGGCAAAATGCACAGATCCCTGGGACTGTATCTCGATCTTTTTTTCAATATCCTCTCCCCCCCTCCCCAGGAGTCTTAAAAAGACTACTCTCTCCAATCCCGCTAATGAAACTTTAATACCAATGATACACTTTATATTTGTATGATGATCCTTTGGAGGGCCAGAAACCTCTTTAATGTCTAAGATTTTTTTTCTGCCCCTCCTCCCGCCAAATTGTCACTATTTTGGGCGCAGCGTTGCCCCTATGTGTATCCCAGAGTAACTGAGAGAATTCCAATTTGAATACATTTAGGGACTAAAATAAGTTTATTTACTCAGTAAATATTAATTGCTCGTTCAAATACATGATTGAAAAGTTTTAACAAGATATACAGAAGAGGGCAGCCCCGGTGGCTCAGCGGTTTAGCGCCGCCTGCAGCCTGGGGTGTGATCCTGGAGACCCGGGATCAAGTCCCACATCGGGCTCCCTGCATGGAGCCTGCTTCTCCCTCTGCCTGTGTCTCTGCCTCTCTGCCTGCCTCTCTCTCTCTGCCTCTGAATGAAAAAAAAAAAAAAAAAGATATATAAGATATGATAGTGCCTGATTGGCTCATTTGAAAGAGTCAGTGATTCTTGATCTTGGGGTCCTGAATTCAAGCCCCATGCTAGGGATAGAGATTACCTAAACAAACAAAATATGTGTATGTAATGAAACAAACATTTCAGAAAATCCAGAATAGGTAGAGAGGATATGGGGGGTTGTATATGGGAATAGGAGTTGGGAATGCTTTATAGAATGCCTGGCCTTGAAGAGTAGATAGACTGCAGGAATGGGAGTGGGGTAAGGATTTCAGGTAAAGAAAATTTGAGCATGGGCTCGCAGCTGGAACAGAAAGGAAGGGTATGGATGTCATTAATGAAAGATGGGCTGAAGGGGAATTGTATAATATAAAACTGGAAAGGATTTCCTGGGGAAGGCCAAATGAGGAAGGGCTGGAATGCAAAGATTTTGTGAACTAGAGATAATGAGGGGGAAAAACAGGTTTTTGAGCAGGGAGGTGATAGGAAATTGATAAATGGAGGGATAAATGCAGACAATGACATTGATTAGATTGTCATAGTAGTTTAGGCAATAGGCAAGTGGATTCTGTGCTAACAAGCATAATGGCAATGGGAATGGAAAGAGGGAATTTGGGTCCGGGATCTGCAACTTATACACCTGTAGATATGTGAATAATGCTGATAAGCGATATGAACCAGAGGGGTCTGTGGCAAGGTAGGCAGCTTTTTAGCTCAGCTGGTTATTGCCCTGTTAAAACATCATCTCTGTGTGAAAAATCTGACCAAGAGGTTGCAGAAACCCAGAACTGTGTTTTAATTTGTCCATTTTTTTTTAAATTTTTATTTATTTATGATAGTCACACAGAGAGAGAGAGAGAGAGAGAGAGAGAGAGAGGCAGAGACACAGGCAGAGGGAGAAGCAGGCTCCATGCACCGGGAGCCCGACGTGGGATTCGATCCCCGGTCTCCAGGATCGCGCCCTGGGCCAAAGGCAGGCGCTAAACCACTGCGCCACCCAGGGTTCCCTAATTTGTCCATTTTGATGGCTGCCATCTAACTTGAAAATTTTAAGCACATTATATAAGCCAATCCAAATATGCCTGTGAGTCAAAGGTGGCCTAAGTGTGAGTTTGCAGCCTCTTGCCTAGTGACTCAAAAGCAAGGGGATGTCAAAAACCCATATGAGGGCAGCCCCCATGGCCCAGCGGTTTAGTGCCGCCTTCAGCCCCGAGTGTGATCCTGGAGACCTGGAATCGAGTCCCACATCAGGCTCCCTGCATGGAGCTTGCTTCTCCCTCCCTCCCTCTCTCTCTCTCTCTCTCTCTCTCTGTGTCTGCCATGAATAAATAAATAAAATCTTAAAAAATATATATATGCTCTTTTTGGAAGCTCCAAAGGGGGTAAGGGGAGAAAGCACCAAACAAGGCAGTGTTCTTGGCCCTTGAAGATCACAGGTGACATTCAGTTAATATTTATTCTACCAATATTTATTTGAGCACCTGCTAGGTGCAGGAAATATAACAAGGAACAAAGCAGACAGTCTCCTTATGCTCCCTTGGTGCTTATATTTTGGTGAGTAGAGAAAAAAAAATACTATGTTAAGAGTTAAATGCCATGGTAAATGTTAAGCAGGGAAGGAGAGAGGGAATGCTGAGGTCAAAGGGAGGACTTGTCATGTTACTCAGACAGAGAGGGCCTTCCTTTATTTTTTTTTTTTTAAAGATTTTATTTATCTGACAGAGAGCAAAAGAGAGTGAGAGCACGTATGCACAAGTAGGAGAGGGGCAGAGGGAGAGAGAGAAGCAGGGAGCCAAACATGCCCAATCCCAGGACCTTGGGATCATGACCTGAGCCCAAGGCAGATGTTCAACGGAAAAAGCCACCCAGGCACCCCTCCACTCCCATGATTTTAATGACCACCATTATGCCTATAACTCCAGTCTTTTTCCTGTGCTTCATAGCTGTACATCCAGTTGCCTTCTGGATGAGTGGTTTTTTTTTTTTAAGATTTTATTTATTTATTCATGAGAAACACAGCGAGAGGCAGAGACACAGGCAGAGGGAGAAGTAGGCTCCATGCAGGGAGCCCAATGTGGGACTCAATCCCGGGACTCCAGGATCACACCCTGGGCTGCAGGCGGCGCCAAACCGCTGAGCCACCGGGGCTGCCCTATCTCCATAAATTTTGAATGACCTTTTTCCAGCCCCAATTCATTGCCCTGCAAATGGAATGAGCTCCTTGCTCAGAGAAGTCAGGCGAGTTTGCTGGGTGAGCAACTCTGCCCCCACCTGGCTGTAAGAGGCACTGCCTCCCCTAACGGAGGAGGAGGATATGCAAATAACCACTGCTTTGGCAGGAATTGGGAGACCTGCCAGTAACCTCAGTGGAGACACAGTCCCATTTTTTTTAAATTTTACTTTTAAGATTTTATTTATTTATTCACGAAAGACACAAACACAGAGCCAGAGACACAGGCAGAAGGAGAAGCAGTCTCTATGCAGGGAGCCTGATGTAGGACTCAATCCTCGGACTCCGAGATCACGCCCTGAGCCAAAGACAGACGCTCAACCGCTGAGCCACCCAGGCGTCCCAGAAACGGTCCCAATTTGATAACAGAATTATCTGGATTGTGGTGGAGCTTGGATATTGGGAAGGATTAGCCTGGTCTCAGGGAAGATGAGGATGTTGAAGATTATAAGGACGCCAGGCTCACATGTTGCATTTGTGCACTGCGGGAGGAAGCTTTGGGACTGGAGGGATGATGGGAGGTTGATACAGGTAGTATAGATTCTTGGCCTTTTGGCTAAGATCGAGCGTGGTATCTGTTCTTATCAGTTTAACATCGGATATGTCCTCTATCTGAGGACAATGTATTCCATTGATTTTTGGAGTAGGGGCTGTATAGGAGCTTGCTTTGTGTACTCCATACATCATTTTCCTGGTCCCTGGGTGTTTAACAGGGTTGATACACTTGGAGTTGGAATAATGCCACATTAGGGTCTTTGGCCTGGGAAAAAGAGCTATCACAGTGGGAAATACAAAATAGAAATCTCTGAAACTGCCCCATTCCCATTCTAGTGATGTCCTTTCTTCTTCTCTTTTGAACCCATCTGTGCTCT